AGTGCCCACGTGAAACAAAATGCCAGGTTTATGCTCTGCACTCTCAGGGTGCTAGTATATGTCATTTTTATGATTTCTCCCCTTTATAAACTCAGTAATAAGCAGCACCTGTGGCTAGAAGACCACTTATTTTTCTGATGAAATCTGTAACCCACTTCACATTATAGGGAAAAGGTTAATTTTGCTGAACAGCATGCTGTGTCCTTCCGTATCTGATTTTATGTACCATTCCATGGATAGCTGGTTTTAATAGTTCATTTATTTTTCTTCAAGTGCAGCTTTTGAAACTGAGTATTTTGATGCTTACCCTGGAAGCAGATAGCATTGGACCCCTTGTGTGAAGGCAAATACAGAACCACAATAACAACATCCAGTTAATACAAAAAAAAGTCCACAACAATGAGATACTCTCTGAAGCATGAAGATTATGAGATACAAAGAGACAGACATTAGAAAGAAAAATATTCATTGAGCATAGTACACAACTATCCACTTCAGAATTTTTGTACTATCCCCTGAAGTATTTAATATTGGTCAGGAATTCAAAGTAAGCATAGACATCTCACTGATTCGTGATGCCAGAGAGAAAAGCTCCAGCAACCCATAAAAACTTGGGTAAATAGCAAGGAATGTAACAGTTAAGACGCCTATTTCAATTTGGGATTCAGTAATCTTTCAGAAACAAGCAGGGAGTGACATTCAAGGTAACATAACGCTCAAGAGAACGCATTTGATGCTTCAAATTGATAGGGGATCTCAAGGAAGAGAAATCAGTATCATGAACAAATTCATCTATTCTTGTGTTAACACAGCGTAATCCTATGAAAGGAAAAGGAATTAGTATTTTACATAACTCCCACTACATTTCTGTTTGTTATGAAGTTTACTAACAATATCAAATGAATAGGAAACATAAATAATGCATGAATCTCTAAAATAAAAAGGATAACATTTATTAAAAAGAAACAATGTAAATTCAGCAAGAGCGGAAGGAAATTATTTTAAGTAATTTCCCTTGATATAGATCCAAATATCCACATGAAATGAAATTAAAACATCTCTATTGTTCCCTAATAATCACTGGGAAATAGAGGTCATTATTTTACATTCCCTGGTGGCTTGTTGCTGAAGTTACTGGGAAGGCAGTGGGAACGAATCTGACTTTTTATCTTATTGGTACACTACTTATAAAACCCAAGAGACAGAGCTGTTTGGTTGGTTTTTTTTAATGCACCATTTACCAACAACATCATTAAATTAACACCAGCATGAAATATAGATATCAAACACAAGGTAGTGTATTGTAAAAAAAAAAGTGGCTAATGACCGATTTTCTTCTTTATTAACTTTCTAAGGGGAAATATTTGGGGCATTACTTCTGGGTTTTTTTAAGAATAGTGGTCATTTTTTTAGTATCAGGAAATAAAAGACAAAGATATAAGAAATTGACTTATAATAATCACCCCATTATTACTGCTGGCAATAATAATGGCTGCAAAGCTTTATACAACAGTGTATTTATTTATGTGACACGCTGTTTTATTTAACCTTACACTTCAGTGTTTTTCCTAGTAACACTGTTCGTAACATCTTGTTTCATTAGCTTCTTCTAAAGAAAACTTCTGGTTCTTTATGCAAGAAGGACAGAAGGCTTGCTAAGATGCCTCAAACTATTTCCTTGACCATTGGGAACACTTAATTTATACATTTGGTGGACAAGCACTCCAACACACCTCTCTGTTTTCATCAAAACAAAGAAACAATTTAACTTATGAAGACCTTAAAAGACATCAGGTGAGAAATAAATTGATGATATGAATGCATACTTTCCAAACTCAAATCTGATTCATGCACTTATATGCATGCTCATATGTTAATAATATAAAATTCAAGGTAGGGAAACAAGATCATTAGCTGGTAATTAAAATTAACATTTGTCATTCTGTATTCCTGCATATCCATCATTCACTAATACAATACTGTCTTATATGACATGCTTCAAGAACGAAAAGAAAGTTGCAAATGGTGTGATGAAATGTATCCATAAATAGTCTCAACACTGACTAGTTGCTTTTCTCCCAGCCTTCTACAAAATGTCAAAAAGAACAAGCTTTGTGGCTTTTTGTTTTGTTTTTTAACTTTTGCAACTTTTTTCTTTTTATGCAGAAGTAAAGGAAATTAAATTCTTATAGGCCTGCGTGCCCTGCCTTGAGCTTTCCAGTCAGCTAAGAAGTTTTTCTAAAGTTATCTCTAATCTGCAAATGGGCTGGCTTGAAGTGCTTCTAGCAGAGGAATCAAAGGCTATGTATAATGCTCCATACTTCCTCAGAAACAAGCAAAAAACGTTTTGAAGATTTCACAGTTAAATCACAAGTTTGTCAAGCAGAAAACTCTTACTACTAGCACTCTGTTCACCATCTAGCCTGGCACACTCATCCTCACAGGGACCTCTGGATTCTATGATGGCATGCATAGAACTGCAGTCAGAGAACTGGAGAATAAAAAAAAATAAAAGCATCTTTGACAATGGTGAAAGTTTCTGTATTGCCTTTTCATTTACTTTGGTTTTGTTTGGTTTTGTTTTTAGGTTCTAAGCCCTTACAGCAAAGATGGACACCATAAGACACAATTAATACATTCATGTAGTATGAAAAGCTGCGAATTAACATGTTTCAGGAGGAAACCTCAGGAGAGCCTGTCTTTTGCCTCTAAATAGAATCAGACACACTTGAAGCCAGTACACTGCATCATAGCAGGATCTCTGATTTGTATGGCTGTATGAGTCAATACAGCATCAAGACTTTGGCTACTTTCACAGAGCATTAGAACTTGTGACCTAGAGCCAGAGCAGCAAGTAATGCAGCCCAGCACACAATGGAAAGCATCTCTACCATGTAAGTGTCACCAAGGTGACATACATTCAGAAAACAGAAAAAAAGACAACCAAACTCTCTTTTTCATTTGTAAAATTTATCCCTAATGAATAGCATAGGCACAGTAACTATGTAAAGATCCAAGTGGGACTGGTTAATCTACATGTATTATTTCAAGGCTCACAGTCTCATTTTTGCATTTGTCTCTACCAGGAACAAATATTTTAGGAAGTTTAATTGAAATAATAATTAAACAAATTCCACCAACAGGCAGATCAAAGTTTAAAAAAAAATGAGAAATTCTAAGTTTGTTGAATTTTCTTATTCAGATATTACTACCATGATAACCGTGTGTCGTCAATGCTCTCAGCGTGGGCATTCAGTTTGAAGAACAAACAGAATGGGGCTATTTCAAACTCAGCAAAAAGTTGGATGCAAATGATTTCCCATCAAGACCAGCTTCTCCACACATGAAGACACACATTTGCAAATTTGTTTACAAGGATTTAATGATCACATTCTAGTAAACTTATGGCCATTTGTAAAATGTCAGCCAAGTCTTTGACCCTGCATTGGGATTCAACAGCTCAGCTATACAATCCATGCATTCCCACTGAAGTCATACCATAATAAAACAAAAGGTATCTTTCTATCTGACTGCTCTTTTTCCACTTAATAAAATTAATCTTTTACTCTAATGGCATTCCGACAAGATACAAAGTAAAATATCATATGGAAAAATCAAATTATAAACCATAGAGAGTCCAGAAACTTCTAAAAGTGAAAAAAGGAAGTGACTCCTCTGAGGAAAAAAAAGAAACAAAGATAAAATAAAGGGAAATTAAATATAAATATTATGAAAGACTAACCAGTTTGAAAAATTAAACCTTCACCTATTCATTGTTTTCCCTTTTTCTAATAGTTAGCTCACAATAATCTTTAACCCAAACTGGAAAGCTATTCATTTGAAACATTGTTTAACTAAGTAATTAGTAAGTGTTCTGGTAAACATCTTTAAAGGTGCTAAGTGCTGAACAGTCACCCAGGAAAGAAATACTTTCCATGAAGCAAAGATTCTGCACTTTTATAGGTTTAGGTGACTCTAACTATCCAACTGTACCATATAAATATTTATGATTTTGCTGCTTTAAAATACTTATGTGAACAGAAATAGTGGGAGACAAATTCTATGGTTATTTACACCTAGGAATAAGAGAACTTTCTGTATTCCTCTTCCTGAATTAATGAGTTTGCTCCAATCTGAGTCTGAAAATCCTTTTCCTCACTTCCCTAAGTACTCATAAGAAGAAGGAAAACAAAGACAGACATAGTCATTGGATAGATTTGAGCTGGTTAAACTTTCACAATATTTAAAAATCCCCCTGCTGAGGTTAATCCTTACCTCACTTCTTTACTCATGATTGACTTCCAAGGAAGAGAAAAAAGTAGTCTCATAGCTTATGTGGAATTTAAAAAAAAACGCTTGTACAAGAATATACTCAAAACTTATTTAACTAATCTGAATTTTTTTTATTTAACATCTGAATAGAAATATAAATGAAAGCATACTGCAGATTCACTGGTATGGAAACAAAGGGAATAAGAATATCATAACAAAGGACAATCTGGTAAGTCTGATGTACTCTGCAAGAGTGTCTCAGAGGTGATGAATTTGGTTTGTCTTCCTTCCACTTATTTATCAGGTTCTTGGATTACTAGTATACATTCACTGGACAATTCTCTAAAAGCATTTCAATAAATATATACATACCGATACACATTTCCACTATATGCTCTTTGTTTATAGTTTTCTTTATACCTGTGCTTTTAACCACTAAGACATGATGGGAGAAAGGAAAGGTAGAGCAGCGTTCAAAGTTTATTTTGTGGTGGGGAGCAGGGAGGGAGGAAATTGTGAGAAAACAGTTTTTAAATTAATACAAAAGTATTTGGCTGAACACTCCATTAAAAATGGCTGCAGTCTGTGCTAGCACATTTCTGCCTTTGCAGAAGCAGGTGATTGTTATGAAATACTTAATATCTACTACACAAAGGAGGAAGAGAAAAAAAATATTCATTTTGTACAAAAAGAGGCCCAATGCAACATAGTATTGCCAGCAAACTTACCAGTCGTCTCCTCTCCTCTTCAACAGCAATCAGGAGCCGAGCAAACTCTTTCAGTGACTGGGCTGAAAAGAAAATGAAGAAAAATAATGTCCTGATTTACATTTTACATCCTAATAACATTTTAAGGGCAGATGAGTCCATTATCTGGACTTAAACTGTAGTAATAGTATACTGCTCTGATGTACTACTCCACTGAGTAGTCATTAAATGAGGCATAGACAGAAATGAGCAGTAGGTCAAGAGCAGGTAAAAAACAAAGGAAAAGAACCTGAGTCTTAAGAGTCGTGCATCTAAAAAATAATTTTTTAAATGGAATACGGCAAACTGCTTTTCCTGACAAGTGCAAAGATTAGTCTCAAAACAAAGAATTATACAATCAGCCATAAAATTTACTTTAGCACACAAGGATTAGAAAGAAACTGAAAAGAAAAATATTTAGTTTCTCTTATTAAAGTGCAGTAACAAATACACGCAAGACCAATGAAAAATATTCAGGTAAAAATGTGAAAGTCAACATTTTTGAAGAAATGTGTTACTTATGCCAAATATTTAGGTTTAGCAGCTCTTTGGCTTTTTGTTTTGCAAGGATAAGCTCTCAGGTGAGGAAACCAGATGATTGATTTGAATTCTGTTAAAACTGTGAGAGAGTCTTTGCTCAAAACTGCCTTCAAATATAAGTCAAAGGGCTATAGAGGATATCAACAGACAAATAATAAAAGTATTAACCCATAAAAGAGGGCACGAAATGGGAAAACATTCAAAAAACTCTTAAGGCTTTATTCTCACTTAAGCCAAGTAGTCCAAATCTCTCTAGAAAAAAATCTATCTTTCCATTTATATTACTTTCTCAAGGGCATACGGGTTTTTCAGAATTCAGCATTACAGTTCCACAGACAAAAACGCCAGAGAAGAATCATGTGAAGAGAACTAAGTAGCTCTTTTTGCTTTGTCCTGATGCAGCAGTGATTGCTGCCAGTGACAGGATGCTAAATTTCATGGTTTAAAGCTCTGATCTCATGATGCAGATTCATAAATCCTACAGCTTCTCACAAGAAACCTGAGGCAATCTAAATCATCTTATAAAGAGGAAAAAACCAAGGAAACAAAACTTGTAGAATTTCTCAAAAGAACAGGATCAAAAATTCTTCACAGTTAACCAACATACACTGCTGAGGGGATGCTAACAGAACTCATCCTCTTAATTATTCTTCTATCTTTTTAAGTGTTTTTACAAAACATGTCCCTCTCCAATAATACGGCTTCATCCTCTCTCAACTTCCCTGAAAGATTTAAGGAAATAAGTACATTTTCCAGAGGATCTGCTAGGTTCCAGTATCTTCTAAGAGGGAACCAGCATCTAGCCTGCCTTAACTTGTCAGCATTCACAAATTGCTGCTTAGTTTTTGAACCATACCGAAATCATTTTTATCCTTTATCCCATCTGGACATTGCAGAGGTCACTCTTGCATTCTTCTTGCTCTCTTTTAACTTCTACAGCTGAAGAAAACCTCGCTGTTTGTTCCACTTTCTTCTGCAAGACCTTACATAGTTTATTTTTTGCAACTGTAATGCTACACCTGGATATTTTGACATCGAAGTCATTCTTTGCTGACAAATCCTTTTTTCCCCTCTTATTATTCATGAGCTCTTTGCTTAGTTCAAATACACCTGGCAAGTTAAGTGTCCATCTGGTTAGGTCTCAAGCCTTTTCCTTTAATATTTTTCCCTGAGAACACAAACACCAGTAAATTTTGCAACCTCTTAAGAAAAAGAAATTCTAGGCCTCCTGCACAAATTTCTGAACTCCTCAACTCAGGCTCACCAGCTGAGCCTTTCAGTCGCTGATTTTCAGTTACTTACCAGCTCAGCCTTTATCAGAGTTGCATCTTGAGATCAAGATCTTAAGTTTGCTATCCACTGAATTAACTCAGTCTCTTAAGAGTCGGCTCATAATATCCCAACTGTCAAAACCAGGTAAAGAAACAGATGATGAACCACCTGGTTAAGTTACCTCATATGAAATCTGTTGAGTGTTATATTCAAGAACCCTGACGTACCCATTATGGAACCCTAAAACTTAAATAAACAACAAGCCAAACACACATGCTCCAACTATTTCTTATTTTTACACTGATATCCCCCAATATTTAACAAGAAAGCCCTTGCCTGTAGAAAACAAAACAGAGCCAGTTCATCCCTTGCATATGTGGCAGAGTGATTCTTTACCCACCATTAAAAAAGTTTAATCTTTTCAAATAAACTAGATAAACATATTGTTTGAATTTTATTACCTATTCAGGGAACTAGGATGCACTTTAGAAAAACAGCTGACTTTCTAGTAAAGCCAGAGAGAGAAATTGTTTCCAGATTATTTCAGTGAAATAACTGGTCATTTTTAACCGCAAAATGATGTGTTACTGCAATCACATGTTAAAATTCCTTTCCTTCTCCTTTTTTCACTTTTTTTATTCACAATGACAGAAGTATTTCAAAGAGAAATGATCATAGCAGATGATAGCAGATCCAGAACCTACTGAAATTTAAGTTTTCCCTACCCACATCAAGCCTTATGGTACTCTTAAGTTTCTGATCACATCATTAAAATCGTCCTTAATACAACAAAGGCTTATGAATATATATATTTTTTTTTCATCATCTGCAACGAGAAAGCTGACACTTTACACCTTTCAGCAGCCAAGCACAAACACTGCCAGTTCCCAGCCCCAAGGTATGGGCAGGACTTTATCTAAATCAAATAGAAAGGGTGGGGGACAGGCAGGTAAACGTAATACAGTCTGTTCAGGCAATATTCAGAGTCTTAGGTGCAATAAGATAGTAGAGGAAGAACAGCAGGAAACAAAAACTGGGCAGAAGGACGAATGGAAACTCTGAGGAGGAAAGAAAAAAACCAAAAAGAAGTAAGGGAAGCTTTTGATTCATCTTCCTAATTTCAAGGCAGAACCAAAGGGGTTTTAAGCTTCAAAGTGTTTGCATTTCAAAAGTTTTTTGCTTAGGATTTAAATAAAACTAGGGCAGAAAGAAAAAACGATAAAAATATGTTCTGCAAGTGTGCAAATCAAGATTCTCATCAATGTTTAACATGAATATAAAGGTACTAGTATGTCCCCTATACAGTGCCTCAGCTGAAGACTGAGAAAATGTTTCCATCTTCTATTCCCTGTTGCCTCACTTTTGGGCAGATTATAAAGGTCAAAGTTTCACTAAGAGCACAGAACCTACACTCTTCAGCAGCACTATGGCACCCTAGAAGTACCTTCGCATCAGTACTGACTACACCTCCACTGTTTGCTGCCCAGCATCCACCACATCCATCCTTTTTGCGCTGGTCAATAACCACAAAGCCATGGAGTGTCCTTTCCCAGCTCAGGAGGTGCACTGGGAGAACAAGTGTATCACGTAACTCAGACCACAATGAAGGATGCATGACCAAAATGAAGACAGAGCTCAGCGACATGGACCTCTCTGGTGACCCCACTGGTTGGTCTGCCCTCGCAATGGCACCCCATAATGTCAAAAAAGGCTTCACCACCGCCAGAACTCCCATAACACCAGTAGAGTGTGATTCTATCTAAACGGGGAGACCTAATAGCAGCCTTCCAGTACCTGAAGGGAGCCTACAGGAAGGCTGGGGAGAGCCTGTTTAGAAAGGCCTGCAGTGACAGGACGAAGGGCAATGGCTTCAAGCTGGAGGGGAACAGATTTAGATTGGAGATTAGGAGAGGGTTCTTTACTGTGAGGGTGGTGGAGCACTGGAACAGGTTGCCCAGGGAGGTGGTTGAGGCCCCATCCCTGGAGATATTCAAGGTGTGGCTCGATGAGGCCCTGGGCAACCTGGTCTAGTTGGGGGTGTCCCTGCTGACTGTAAGGGGGTTGGACTAGATGACCTTTGGAGGTCCCTTCCGGCCTGGGCAATTCTATGATTCCATGATTCTATGATAAACATTGCAGTACTTATGAGTCTTTCATGTTATTACACCCTTCTTTCCCATACATTCCCACTCAGTCTGACCTCATTTAAAGCCAGGGCATGTCCCCAGAGAACTTCATCTGTTCTGGAAGTCGCAGCGGGAGGTGGTAAAGGGAATGCAAGACAGCCCTTGCTCCTCTTTCCCCAGTGCATGCTACTCCCTTCTTCCCTCCCTCTTTTCCCACAGCTCCCCTTTGGTTGTAGCCAGGTGCCAGCTCCACCTCACCTGGGCATGGACCGGGCCAGGCAGATGGAGTGATACACAGCACAGAGCTCCCCAGGGGTGTCAGGGCTCCCCAGGAGGGCCACCAGATAGCCCAGAGAGCTGGAGCGGCCATCGCTCCCCTCCACCACCCAGCCCCCCTCTCAGGGTTTCAGGCGAACCCAAGGGTAACACCCACCTCATTCAGGATTCCCAGCTCTCAACAGGAAACAAACAAACAAACAAATATTGCAGCAATAATAATCTGAGGTGCTTTTGCGTAGTTAAAAAACCAGAAGATTTAAAAACCAGAACCATTTGTGTCAGACGTGGCCCCACTGCTGTCTGTCAGGAAGCCCAGGAACTTCATGCAGGCCTCACAACCTTTTCATCCTAATGCTGCAACATTTTTATTCGCCCTTCCTGCTCCTCTTTTTAATCAGAATAGACACAGTAGAGTTAAAGTGAACTTTGTAAACACTAAACACTAAATGGGGTGGGGGGAAGAAGGGTCAAGTATTTTACAAGACAAAATCTCACGGGAATGTGCTGGTAAGAGCTAAATTCTGAAAACATACCAATAATATAAAGTACAACATGTAAACCTAACTTACATTAAATATGAAGGTATTTTTAATCATTTTCAAAATCATTATTGTTACTGGTGGGACATTTGAAGCAAAACAAAGTGCTGCCTTAATACTTTATTCTAAGTTATTAGGAAATACTAGCTTACAAAACCCAAATAGTTTTACAGTCTGCTCTTTATTTAAGGGCTATTAAATGGACTTGTAAGATACACTTGGCATCATGATTGAAGTGATGCCTGTGAAAAGCAACGCCCAACAAGTAAAAACAATTGTATATGTACC